CGAGGCAAGCCCTGGGGATCCTTTGCGGTGCTTAAGACATTCCAACTACTTGCTGACATCTTCATTTGTGTCATCAATCAGCACTTCAAACTTTACACGTTCCAAACCTAACTCTGGCTTTTCCTCCCCAAACCTGACCCTCCTTGAGGTTTCCCTTTTTGGGAGCACATTCTCTACCTAATTGTTATCATTTTCCCTCATTGCATCCAAGTTCTGCAGACCTTATTCCAAAACTTCATAAATCTCTCCACTTCTCTTCCCCTCCACAGCTACTACCATGGACAAAACCATCATCTCTCTCACTTGGATTAATGCAATAGACCCCTAAGTGGTTTCCTTGCCCTCCATGATCCACTTTCTCCACATAGTCATGAGAGTGATCTTTCTGGAGATTGAATTACTTCACTCCCTTGCTTCAAACCTTGCAGAGTCTTCCCACTGCTTTTTGAACAAAACCTAAACTCCTTTGTATTGCTGTCTACAAGATCTTAAGGAGCTGGCCCTGCTGAGTCTCTGATTTCAACAGGAATCACTTTCTCTCTCAAACTTGCTAAGCTAGTTCCCACTCCCGGGCACTTGCATTGGCTGTTCTCTCTTCTTGGAATGCTCTTCCCAGCACTTCCCATGGCTGGCTCCTTCTGGTCATCAGACCTCAGCCCAAATATCACCTCTTAGGCCTTTCCCAACCTTCCCAGAAAGAGCAGTTCTCCCCTTCTCCATTCATGCTCTATCTCATCACTTTATTTCCTAAGCAACATGGTTTATTTATTTTATTCTCATTTATTGTCTGTCTCATCCTATTAGAATAGGGGTTAATAGCAGGCAAGGGAGTTGAGTTCTTATCCCTAGCACCTAGAATAATACCTAGCACATAGTGGAGTGCAATGCATGTTTTTTGAGCTAAATAAATACTTGTGAATTCCACTGGGTCAGCCCCTAGACTGGGAAGCAAATTCTACAAGATCTCTCCGTCCTAGGGTTTGAGACCTTGCTGGACTCTATCCTCCCGTACACAGCCCTGTCCTCTTACAGATGCTCGACTTGAGGTCTTAGAGACTTAGCTGTGCTTGGATTCCCTTGAAGACTCAGGAGAAAATCCACTAAGAAACAGGGAATTTAGATGAGTCGCAAAGAACTTCCTCGTGTTAGGTGCTGGCTGGTATGGAATGGGGAAGGTGGTGAGATGCAAGGGAATGTCCCTAACAACAAATTGGCTGTGTTCTGCCATGCCTAATGGCCTGCACCCCTTGGCTTTAATTATTTTAAATCCTTCTGTTAAACTACTTCCTCACAACCCAAATTGTGCTTTTCCACCCCAGACACTGAGAAAGCCCCTACTCCTTTCCTGGGAGACCTGTCAGGGTGGCTAAGATTCCTGTTCCAGCCGCCTGCTCCCTCAGGTGCTATTGTCAGAGCCTCAGTGGACCTTCACCTGGGGAGCATCAGGCTGGCTGCCCTCTGCCCAGCCCCTCCAAATAATCCTACTGTGTGATACCTCACGGTGCTGTTCGCAGGCGGGGTCAGAACTTGTGGTGAAGAGAGAAATCCAAGCAAAGGGGCCCGGGGCATGTCAAGCGCTCAGCCTTTTGGGTGGCTTTCGCCCATCCTGCATGCGTGTCCTTGTTTTAGACCCTGCCCTTGGTCCCCAGGGACCTGCCACAACCTGACAGAGGAGAAATCAGACCCCCATCTCCGGGCGCTGGCTGGGCCTGCTCCTCTCCCTGCCTTCTTTCGCCTGCTTCTCCACAATGATCTTGTGCATTCCTCCGAAGCAGCTTTTCTGTAAGATCTCCTTGGCTGCAGACAGCCTAACAAAGAACCTCAATAAGGCCACAGGCGGCAGATGGCTTATCAAGATGAACCTGTTTGCTCTGCATCCTGGCTGTCACCTGGGTGCTGCTTTGTCATCACAGAAGGCAAAACAAAACAGCCGTACACGCACATGCTCATGCACACCTGCACACACACAGAGACCTGATCCCTGTCAGGTGCCGTGCTCCGGAGGAGTCAGAAGCGTCATCTTCTACCCTCTAACTCTCATAGCTACTTTGCCCTTCCTCCTCCTTTGCCTGGATATCCCAGCCCAAAGACTGCGTGTAACTGCGTGGAGAGCTGCACGGTTAAGAGGGGCAGCCTTTTCTAACACGAGCTGGAGAGTCTGCAGGCACTCAGTGAGTATTAGGGCCCAGAGTGCCACTGCTGGGAGCGAGGTCCGGGATCTCTACCTCCCTCTTCCACAGGCAGGAAACTGGGGCCCTTGGCTGCCAGGCAATTAACTAGCTGCTAGCTAGTTAGTGAGCAGCAGGGTCTAGATTCTGAGTCCCCTGATGCCTAGGCTTGGGCTCCTTCTTCCCTCCCATTCCTCATTCAGCACTGGGCT